AAAAGGTGCCCCGGTGCTCTTTAGTTTACATGGGGATCCCACTAGTTTATCATTTTTGAGGATTGACCCGCTCAACTGCCTCAGATTTTCTTCACCAGTTCTAAATCCAATCCGCTGTTTTATTTCACGAGACATCCATCTATCTGTGCCCAAGTTTTTGGCCTCTCTTTCAATAAAGTTGGCACACAGCGAGCTCATGTTTACAAGCTCAGCCTGTCTGTGAAGATTTAAACTCAAAGATACAAAAGGAACAAGAAGGGGGAAAAGATTAACACTGGTGATTTGAGCTTTCTCTGGATGGAGCATTCAATCACAGCTGTTTGCTTTTTCTCTCTTAAGTTTCAATTTGTCACTCGGTGTGTGGAGAAGATTTCTCACTAATATCCACAAACTGACTCCTGAATCTCAATGAGGGTAAAGGTAAAGGTCTCAGTTAGTGGGGATTGGATGCCTCTGTGATATAGGCTGTTTTCTTGTATTATTTTCTACTGATTGATAAAACAATTTAGCATCTGGCCCAGTGCAGCATTAAACATGCTCTATACTTTCCTGTAAGTCAATTTCATTTGTACTGCCTTTAATCAAGGCTGCAGTCTCAGCGGGCCTCACAACGCCTACATAGTGAAACGATAAATGAAAAGAAGGATAGCAATGCTTTCTAAAACCAAAATCTGCCCGGTGGGGAAATTAAACTGCAGCTGTCAGCTCTAAGTCAGCTCTGCTGCTCCCTGTGTGAACAAACACATAAATACAAAAAAGCTATGTTAGGTTAAAAAGATCTATTTGGAAAATACATTATTCATGTTCCTTTTAGTAGACGTTTAACTGGCTTTAGATTATAGCCAGAAAACATTTATCTTGCCTTGTTGTTGGGTGAATACATTTCCCTTTTTAAAGCATCTGCAGGGCTGGTAAGGACACCGATGATTCCTGCAACACTTGACCATAATCTACTTTACTCTGCTGTTGGTTTGACATATAAATCCCACTGTCACAAAAAAAAGTGTTTTTATTTTTATTTGTGGTCATATGTATAGAGTTTATTTCCTGTGTAGTTTAGCTTAATAAAACTGTTTTCTGAGCCTCTTATCAGGCACCAGAACACACAACAGATGTCACAGTAATGCCGTCTATCGACACCCTGCCAGGCGACTGTCAAAGCATCTTTGTTCCTCTGCCTGTCACCTAGATTAAAGCTAAATTGAAGCTAAATTGATCAATATGTGCCGCTGCTAAGCGTCATTTCACATCGACTCAGTGTAACTCGTTTAATCGCATGAAATTGGTGTGCAAAAAAATAAAATAAAAGTTGATAAAGTTGGAGAGACAGACTGACAATGACTGCGAAAATATAGCAGCAAATTGAAGAGGGAAAGAAAAACAGAGACAGTAATTTGAGAAAGAATGAGATGGAGGCCCCCGCTGAGCAGAAAATAGCTTTACCATCTCGGTGTGTGAGATAACAACAAGAAGGAGGCTTCTGTAAATGTCAGCCTGTAGTCGTGTGTAATAGGATGTGTGCCACGGGGTAAATGAGAGACTTTTGCACAAGAAAGCCTCATGATATCGTCTATAATGGGACAGCTTAGGTGATACCTGGAGGGAAATGGATGCTTCTTACTGGGATGATTATATATGATTGAAAACACGGGCAATTTTCATAAACATCTTAAAAAGTTGAAACTGAGTTGGGCATGTTGCATCGCTTCGACAGAATCCAAGTCATTTAGGGTGATCATGAGAAAATTGGCATTTAGGCATCTGGAGGCATCTTTTCTAAATGACATTACATTATAACAGAGATGATGCTTTAAATGAACTGAGGCTGCAAACTAGAAACTGGTGTGTCTTACAGCAGAGTGGCGGTTTCTCTCAGCTGAGGTTTGCTTCATGTAGTATCAGTCTCTGCATAAAACTGAACAACTCTTTTACATTTAGTTTCAAATGAAACCAATCTTTTGTGTAGCCAAAACTAACAAACGGTAGTAGGAACTTAGATGTTGTCTAAAAACTGAAGTTTAACTTATTACACTATTAGAAATGTATTATTATTATTATTATTATTATTATTATTATTATTATTATTATTATTATTAGAAAAGAAAA